AAATGAAATTGAATACTAATATCAGCAAATAAGAACATTTGCTCTGCTTTGTAAAAGAAGCCATTTGTTCAACAGCTGTAACTGTTAAAGGTCTATATTGTACAAGAGTGCAATATTGTTAATACTATGATAGCATACAGATGTCACTGTGTTGAAACAGAAAAAAATGAAAGACAGAAGTAATGAGATCTCCAGAACTTGAGTAAGATGAACAATATATGACTGTTGAAGTAAAAAATAGAAGTGTCTGTAATAACATATGTATCTGAAAGAAATAAGGTAAAGTTATTAATAAATTAAAGTGCTAAGCCAGTACTTCCGGTGCTGTTCTTAGAGATTTCCAGCTGGCAAAAGCTCTGGAAGCGTGGGTGCTCTGGAACATAGGATGTTGATTTGAAATCCTGACTTTCTGGGCATACACTGAGAATTGCTAGTGAGCTCATTTATATTATTTAAAAAAAAAAATCACAAATTATTCAAACAAAAAAGACTTTCTCTTTTACTTTTGGCATGCAATTCACAAAAAAAAATCATTTGAAGGTAATTTAATTCTATTCTAAAGCATAATGCTTAAACCTGAAAGAGTAAAATTTCCTTGTATTTGGGATGTATGATGTTATTTTCTACTTTTTAAAAATAGTTCAAAGAGCTCCTTTTTAAATTTTTTCCCCTTAAATATAAAACTAATTCTTCAGCTCAAAGAAATATTTAGATCAGCCTTTTACTGCTGAGGAAATAAAAGGTAAGATCCAAAGCAAGCAATTCAGATTTTGGAAGCATTTTACTAATGACATTCTGAACCACTTATGAAGTCTAGCTGAATTTTTTAAGCCTTGCTTTTTAGACAAATAAAATGAGACCAGAAGAATTAATTTGTGCTTAGCATTTATGAGAACTAATAAAATCAAAACTATGACACAGTAATGAAAGTGCTCACCATTTAACACATAATTCTGAAATCCAGACAGCTATAGCTTTAGTCACACAACTGATAAGGTGCATCATATTATAATTTACCATTCCCAAGAAGTCAAGAGCATTTTTTTTCCATTTTGTTTTAAACTTAGTGAATGGTAACACGACATTGTAGAAATTATGAGGAAAGCCTATTTGACGGATTTTTTTTCCTTCCATTAAATGAGAAAAATTAAAATTAACCCCTGAAGAATTTGATCTTTGAGGAAAAAAAATAAAGAATAAAACCCAGCTTAATCATATACTACCTGAAAATATTTAGCAATTCTAACTGCATTGAGTAACCCAATTTCCTTGGGAATGCTCTGAATGCAAGCAAGTAGAATGAAGCCCATTGTTACAAGAAATATTCCTCATTTCTTGACTTAGTAAGTCAAGAAACATACAAAATATAATTTTCACATATTATTAACACTTATTTCCTGGGCAATTACTAACACCTAGTTCCTGCGACATGTGTAGAGAGCAAAAAAAACCTATGCAATACCATAAGTACTATGTTAGACTAAAAACTATTGGATCTACACATGAACCATTGAACTTGGCTTCATTTTAGCATTTGTCTTCTACTCAAAAGTGCCTGAGATAGTGTTGTGTGGGACAAAAACAATAAATGTGTAGTCAGTGCATGGAGTTTTTCACAGACATGTTTTATACCTTTGACCATCTGTGCTCAGCACCAAAGAATTAAAAAAACCCTGGGATAAGAATACTTTCAGCAGATCAATTTTGCTGTGACCTCTGTTAAAATATGTATGATTAATCAAAAAAAAAGAAAAACTAAAACACATCCAAAGGATAAGAATATCCTTTCTAACATTTCTCCTTACTAGTCAATTATTTACAATAAAATTAACCACAGACTTCAGTCAAAGTCTAAGAATTTGAAAAAGAACTATATAAACTTGAATTATTTACATAGATATATATACACACATGATGAGATATAGTTTAAGTTTAAACAGAAGATATCCTAACTAAGCAAAAATGTCTAAGCAGCATTTGAAATCCATAATGACCTTAATTAGACTTTCCTCTCTGACATTTAAGAAAAGCATCAATAATAAAAACAATAATAATAAAATAATCCTATACAATATTAGTGTCTTAAGAATCATTCTTGGGTGGCCACTTGAAATAAAGCACAACAGAGTATATTGCATTATCACCTATACCAAGTTTCTTTTCTTCTTCTCCCTGTCATAACAAACTGATCTGTATGGCCCCTGATAAATAATATTATTTAGCTTTCATTATAGATATAAAACCAGAGCAAATCCCAACACAGACATTTTCCAGTAATAGTCAATCATGATTTTATCAGCCATCATCCAGGTCCATACTTCTGTTTGGACTACTTACTTGTATATTTATTCTTTAATGTGTACAAACTCTCCAGATAATGAGTAGCTCCAAACTCAGATGGCCAGTCCCAATAAACAGAACTGCCATGGAGATTTGCTGTTATGTGTTGATAGACTCTAACTGGAGACAGAACACTTAGATGCTATCTGCTGATTGTCATAAATGCTCAGAACATTTATGGACCTCAAGCTCAGTCATGTAAATCATCATGGTCACAAATGTTATTGCCATATGAAAGCAAGCTCAAAAAGTATAAATGTTCAAAACCACAAAAAGATACTGTCATTGAAGTAGTGGCTTTTTATATTATCATTTAATTATATTTTCATTTGGGTGTTTGAGCTGCATCCAGTTGTTTATCTGTGAGCACGCTGTTTGCATGAACACAGAGAAAATGCAAAATTAATAAACCCTGACATTTGCTATTTTCCTTCCCTTGTATTGTTCTAGAAAAGATTAACTTAGCTTTCAACATTCCATTCAATGGCACCCCAAAGTACTAACAAGCCAGTCTGACTCATGTATGTAGCAGTTATTCTCTAACACTCTCTTTGCCTCTCTGAAAAAAAAAAAACCTATATATATATCTATATATATATATCTTTTTCATTTTGAAACATATTAAGAAAACAATCACCGAAAAATGTTGTTACATGGCATCGATGACTGATAGGGTAAATTGTTTGAGGCTCTTCTTGTTTAGTATTCTACTTCAGGAAAATTACTATATCCCAGTCAGCAGTACTTAAGTGCTCTTCTGTATTTTAATTCCACAGCATTTGTTCCAAGAAAGAACTTAATTTTGCAACAATGAATACATGTGCTGCATAAGCCTGAATAAATACAAGTAAATGATAAATTCAGAAACCTTAAAATTTTGCACTGACCTACTGTAGCTGAGGTCCTTGAAAGTTATTTATCATTATGTTACTTAATGCAGGTAGAAACTCATAAAAGTCTACACCTGGCTTCTTTCTGGAGTAACGGGATGCAAAATTCCTTGTTATGAGCTCAGAAGAAATATTTTCTAATAGTGTAATGCACTGTATATTGTGCCACATAGATAAAAAGGAAAAACATAAAACTAATACACTTTTTAGTCACTTTTTTATTTCTGAAATCAGGCCTCCCAGATGTATGCTATAGTGCAATTGTATGCAAATAGTACATTCCTAGTTTTTCTTTGCATAATCATAATGAAAAATTTAATCAACCATTAATCCATTACTATTTGTAACCTATTCCTATTTATAAGACTGACATTTCCATGGCAAAAAGGTAAAAAATCTTAGGAAATAAGATTTGTGACTGTGGTCTTAGAAAACCCAAATGATTTTCAAAACCCCAGTTTCTCTATACAAAGTAAGCAGCAAACAAGACCACAGTGGAAAATTAATGTGACAGATTTTTACAATAATTCTTTAGAACTATTATACAGTTTCTTACAATAATTTTTACAAAAACTTATTTAAATCAACATTTAGATTATCTAAGTATGTCTGAATAAAATCACTGAAAGTCAGTCATCTTTTGAAGATTAAAAGGGTTTCTTTTTAACCTTCTGCAAGGGTAAAAAGAAGCTAACTAATAAAGGGCATTTAATTCTCCATATAATGAAAAAGAAAGGTACTTTTATTTCTCTGGCTAGTCTTGGCACATCTAGTGCTACTCTGTAATGTTATTTGTGCCTTTGACTCTTGTGTTTTGGCAGATGACATATATGTATATATATATATATATATAAACTCCATAGGAACCGCAGGGACATTTCTGTTTAGGAGAATATACTGATAGCTGCTGATGTAAATAATTAATAATGACAACAATCTACATGAGAAATTCAAGGTTCAAGGTAGCAGCTTCTCCTCATGCCTCCAGACCCTCCTGTGTGTCAGGGGAGATTGTTAGCCCTGGTAGTTGTCTTCTGGAGAACTCCCTTGAGAAATTGGTACTGTTAATATACTAATCAAACAAAATTAGGCAGGTACTTCTTTCTTTATAGAGTTTAGCTACAGTAATTAAATAGGTCCATACTACATACTCAATTTTTCAAGCCTAGTAATAGAATTCAGTTATTGAGAACATTTAGACCTGAATAAATATATAATAATTATGAATTCCTAGGTGTTGTACTGATCTGTTACTAAAAGCTACAGAATGTTACAATACTTACATGACTCAGTAGTATATTTCAAAAGCATGTTCAGTTAAAAAATAAAAAGTATTTGGCTTGCAAGACTGATTAATTGTGGATCCGAAATGTGAGATTTCTTTTGGTTTATGTCAAACTAATGCTGCAGCAGGATACATTTAGCACAAGAATATTTTTTGAAATCGACTCAGATTGCATATCCAGTTTTGAGAGAGACTGTTTTTCATTTTGCCCTATTATACAACACTTCTTTTTGCCTGGCATTTGACAGGCATCCCCATCCTTAGCGTTTACTTCACTTCCTCAGTGCTGAGGCTGCAAAAACACAGCCAGCAGCCTCTTAGAGCTTTTCATGGAAATCTGCCATTCTAAACTGGCACCTAATGCCACTTTATTATTCACAAGGAAGTTTAAAACTCTGAAATGAATTTAAATATTTATGCCAATAAAGAAACTGATGAAAAGTATAATAATCAAAGAAGTAAATGGAAACAATGTAAGACATTACTGAAGTAGCTCTTCTTGGGAAAGCTCCGATGTTCTTTGCTTGCCAGTCACCAGCGCCAGCTCATCCTTCAAATCCTGAATCTCCTTTTTCAGCTGGACAATCATCTACAAACAGCAAGGCATAAACTAAGCATCACCTACAAATTAATAGTTAGTTTATGATTTTTTCAGTAGAAGGTTGAGTTTAGGTAAATATAATTTAGTTTTGTCCTCTTTTAAAATAATATGTCTTTTCTAAAAACTGTCAAAATGCCTTAAATACACCAAGTGCCTTTTCTTTCTCTTTTTCCATTTATAAACCCAAGAAAAGTCTTCCAAATACAGTAAATTCTTGTGTTAGAAGACTTGGCTGTACAGAAAGAGTTCAAAAGATATTTTGCAAAAGAGAAATATTATTTGTAATAGGAATAAAAAGTTTTTCTGACTATTAGTTTTTCCTCTTAATAATGAAAAAACATTTAAGAACTGACATCTTTTTTAGAGTGAGGGCAACTAGACAACACAAGTGATTTTTTTGCTTTCCCTTATAGAAACAGAAATTTCAAAGCAATATCAATTTTAGAATTACCTTTTTTCTTTTTCATATGACATTTCACTATTATTACAATTACTGTGTGCTATACTTGTAGGATGCATCAGTTGCTAGCAACAAACTGATGGTATAAAGTGACATTATGAAATTAAATTTTATTAATGAATAGTAATGTGATAATATTACATGGAAAACTTAATTAGATTTTTTAATTCTAGGAAGTCATTGTCAAAATCTGCACTTTGGGAATAAATATCTTTATAAAACCAAATTATACTAATCATTAAGCTCTCAAAGCCAAGTTTTACAAAGCAGGGCAATATGCAAATACCTAAGTCTAAGACATAAATGAGTGTATTCTTGGACACTTTATGGTTGATCACTTAATGAAGGCTCCCTTTATATGGCTCAAATGTATCAGTAGGCCAGTGATATTTTTTGCATACACTGATTCCACGTGCAAAATAAGTTTCCAAGAGAAGAATGTTTTTAAGGAAAATTAATCACTTTTGATTGCATGCACTTTCCAGTAATGAGATTGTTGAAATTGATGATACATATTTTCACTGGATATTAAAGCTCCTTCAAACATTTCTATTTCTTTTAATGGATAAATTTGTCATAACTTTCTAAGTTTTTACTTTGAGAATCAAATTATTTAAAACATGAATATGATTACTTCTTTTAACTCTAAACCAGTAGTTTATATGAGGTTTTTTTACAATAAAGTAATTATTTTTTTTTTAGAATAAAGCATGAACATCTATCATACTATTTTATTTAATAGTCTATTAAAATTATGACTGTTAATTAGAGAAATTGCAAGAACACCTAGAGAATGTTGCAGGCCAAACATTTTACCCTAATTTTTTGTTGCCCCATTTTGGTGCCACACTCTGATGTAGTTTGTGCCAGCTGCTGAGTCAAGAAAATTAAATTTGGTGCTGGAGTGGAAAATGGTAGACAGCTGAATCACATTAACATCTCTGTTCAATGTTCAAATTTGTTAGAATGACCGACTTCAATCTGACAACAACAGAAATCTCAATTTCAGGATATGGATAGAAGATTCATTTTCAAGTATTATCCAGACAAACTAAAATCTACAGAAGCAAAATAACTTCATTTCTATTTTTACATGAACACCAGAAGAGATCAGGTTTAATTCAAAACCTTGATTTTCAGTTTAAATTATGTCCTTGAGCCATGAGTGAGAGAGGTCCAAAGATGAGTCACTTAAAAGTACAACAGGTACAAATTTATTTTCTCAGTAAGATTAAAAGTCAGAAATTCTCCATTATGAAGAATAAAGTTTATACAACAATCTGACTTAACTCAGATGTACCAAGAGGTACTGGGAACCCCCTTTATAAAGCATGCATTCAACTCACATATGATAGATACTGACAATAAATTGCATTTTGATTTTTCATAAAATTAATATTATTTTATTACAATAAAATTTTATTTTCATTTAAAAAGTCTTAAATCCAGCACTTTGAATAATAGGGTTGCACAAGCACAGGGCCATATAAATTCAAGGCACTTGTGTTCCCCTGCCTTTTCCACAAGAGGGGATGGTTTTCTAACTCTCATGTGTCCACTTTTGCTTTACTTGCTAAATGATCCTGCAGAGTGAGACATACCAAACTCGTGGAGTATAGCTCCACAGGATGTAGTAAATGTTCAGGAGCCTGCATGTGCTTTACCTCAATTAAAGCTTTCTGTGGCCATGGAAAAAACGTTTTGCATTATTTGCTACTAGAAAATCTATGTAGAAAAGAAAAGAGAACAGACAGATAGAAATAAAGAAGTTGTTTGATGCCTGCTGGGTTAGGGTTTTTTTGTCTTTTTTTTTACCTCTGTGATACTATTGTTATCAGAATTTTTTTGCAAAGAAAAAATAAAAAAATAATAACAATGGAAAAGAGAACCAGCTGAAAACCTGATAAGGATCTTCTATTCCCTTTGAAAGTCAAGAATGAGAGACAAGAAAAAAATAAAGGCACAATTATTAACAGTAACTGAAATATGCTAATTAACATCAAGTAACAATGAATAAAATCATTAGCTAAGAAACTAGCTATTTCTGTCTCCTTTGCTTGTTTCCATCTTTTTTGCCAATGGTAACTCCACAGAGTTCTTTCTTCCTATCTAAAATGTTCCTTGAATCAATTTCAATTAAGGACTTGGTATATTTCTCAGCTTTTGAATACACAAATTGTTTCAGTGCAGCTGTGTGCCTTCATCAAGTGACTAGCAGTCTTAGTACATTCTTAGAGTTTTAGAGCCATCCAATGATTTGTGACTATGATTTAGGAATTATCACACTAAAAAAACAACACTAAGGTGATAATGAAAGTGACCATTTCTCCTCGATGCTTTAAGAGTTGAGAAAGCCTTTAGAGATTAGATAAAGATCCACTTAAATACAATTGCATCCAAAAGAAAAGAAAATTAAAGTGGCAGTTATTTTAAAGAAAGAAAGTTGGAGCTTGCATCTGAAAACAATTTAATGGGACATTTCAGTATAAAATCCCCAACATCACATTGGCTGCTATTGATTAATAACTTAAACGAAGCAATCTCCTTCCCTCTTCCCCAGACAATTCTCACCAATCTGGGGTCAATTTCTTCATTAAGAACTGCTTCATTCTTAATAAGAGCAACTCGTTGTGCAAATCTGCAGGTTGATATAGATTCCTGGAAGAAAAATTTTAAAAAATGAGAGAGAGAAGAGAATTCCTATTACCTATGCACCAGGTAAGTAGCCAGACTTCTAATGAAGCCATTAAACTACCATTCAATTTTTTTAGTATGTTACAGAAATATTCTATCATTTCCTATTCCAAAGTAACAATATAAAAGGGAAATTATGTTAGCATATTAATGATAGGAGCACATAAAACTGGTAAGTCATAGACATATTTTACCAATACAGTTTATCCCCTGACCAACTGTGTTTCATGTAAGTCCACAGCTGGAACTAAAGGATAACAAAGCCATGCTACTCAGAAGACAATAACCTTTGAATGATGAGAAAAAGAGAAAACTAATGAAAGTTGTGGTTTTGTTGCTGTTTTTGTTTTGGTTTGTTGGTTTTGTGGTGAAAAGGGGACTAGGCAATTTATGTAAAAGGAGCTGGGAAAAAAGATGGAGGGAAGAATAGCTGAAATATAGTACTACTGAGAAACAAGCTAGGAGACGAAACTGAGAGGCATACAGGGGAGCTGTGATACCAGATAAAAATCTGTCAGATGATCTAAGACAGGGATCAGTAAGAATGAAAGTCAGAACAAAAAATGATACAAGACTGAATTTGCTGGGGAAATTCTGTGATAGTCATTGTGTACTCCCATCTAGTGCACAGAGAGAAATCAAAGATGCTGATATGTATTGTTCTCACATTCCATATCAGCTTACATTTAAATGCAGACCCTGCTATAAGACATATATTTAATGAAAAAAACCCCAGCAATTATCTCCAGTTCAGTCAAATAATAAAACATAGAACACCAGGCAGCAATAGTCTTAAAGATTCAAATGATGCTTGAGAAACTGTATGATAAATCCTTATGGGATGTGGCAGCCTGCATTTAAAAGAGAATTTGTACCAGAGACCCTAAATTAATACATTACTGTAACAGAATTTTAAGAATGGAAGTAATTCTGCAGTTTTCAGTCCTCCAATATAAGAAAATACCACTTGAAGTATTATATTAATTCATCTTTTTCCACACAACTTCTGTCTCCTTAAGTGCTTGGAGGTTTTGCTTTGGAACCCTGAATAAGGGTTATATGAGGAAAGGTGATTCTTGCTAAAGATACAGTATATACTGTGGAAAGGAAAGGAAGGAAAGGAAGGCTTTAGAATTAAGAGAATTACACACTGCTGGGTTGTTAGTTGGGTTCTATGTCTGCCTCTGCTTTTCCTTTGCTATGATGATCAGCCAACGTGATTTAATTAAGTTCTAGACATATAGTAAGTACAGTTTTATGTACAGTACATATGCATACATTTCCACTAGATTTCTTAGCCCTGTTTAGTGTAAAGCACATATTAAATTAATAAGTAGGTAATCAATTAAGTTCTCCATGTTCAGTATGATAGCTTACAATTTGCTTATTCTATGCCATCAAAATGGTAATTAAATCAGACATCTAATTTCCTAATCATTTTTATACTAAGCTTATCATAACAGCACCTCAGGGCTTTTACAAGAATTAATCAATTAACCTTTGCTGCAAATGTATAGAATGATTACACTCAACAGAATAGAAACTGAAGTCAAAAGTACCAAAATATTATACTCAGTTGTCATTTTATGATCTGCTGTTCAAAACAGCTTCTATTCTGCTTCAGTTACAGCTATATTTTGTAATGTATCTGCAATTCAAAATCAACATCTTCATCCATGCATGCCAAAAAACTAGCACAAAAAATAATTTGACATAGTGACTCAAGAAATTCTCTACAAACTCATTGATAGAAGTAGGAATATAATTTAGTTGTCTAGAATAATAATCTATTTATCCTCTTCATATGAGTGCCCTTTTTACTCTGAATTTTCTGCTTCATTGTTTTCATTACAAGAAACAGCACTAGGTCCTTCAGAAAATGGCTTTTATTATACAACTTCAGTTAATACTGTGGGTAATTCTATCTTGTGCATCGTTTTTGAGTGAAATGTACGCCCAATGGAAAAACAAACCAACATGCAACCCTAACATAGCTATGGAGAATGACTCATGCACCAATCATAATTCTGACATTATGTGATGATTAGCAATTTACTTATCTTTTTATATATATTAGCTTATCATACACCTTTATTATTTGGACATTTCAGATTTTGGGGAGCAAAATTTGGTGGGTTTTTTTTTGGTGTTTTTTTTTGTTGTTGTTGTTGTTGTTTTGCTTTACTTTATTTTATTTTTGGGAGGACTGAAGAATAAAATCTGTTGTGTAAATAGTGTATGTTAGAGCAAGAACATGGAAATTTTCATATCTTGCTCTGGATAATTGCTTGATCTAAATATTTACAAAATAGAAATCTGGAACACAATGTGAGACACACCTGATGAATTGATATATGAAAGGCTTTTGATCTTACAGAGCTTAAAATACAATTAACAAACTTACCCAGCTGCCTTTGTAACCAGACATTATGTTTGCACAATTATGTTTGCAAGTCTGAACAATATGTTTTCATTTAATAGCAGAGTCCACTTTTCTAAAGGAAAAGCCTACAACTAGATGAAGTATGGTTTGAGTATAATATTTTCCACTGTATTTCAGAAAACAGACTAAATAGTTTTTCTTTTCTTGTTTATTCATATTAGAATGCTTTTATGTTAGGAAAATCAGGAAATAAACAGATTATAAATGGCTTTGAGCAGTGTTCTATATACTCACATTGCTACATGTTCTAGAATAAAATAGACTAGACTATTTCAGTTGGAAGGGACCTACAATGATCAGCTTGTCCAACTGCCTGACCAAATTAAAGCATATTGTTCAGGGCATTGTCCAAACACCTCTTAAACACTGACAGGCTTGGGGCATCAACCACCTCTTCAGCTTGGTCCAGTGTTTGACCATTCCCCCAAAGAAATACTTCCTGATGTCCAGCCCAAACAGATCTTTGAGAAACATATGTCCCCTGGCATATCACTGAACTATTCCCACACATCCTATCCCTGGATACCAGGGAGAAGAGCCCAGCACTTGCCACTCCACTTTCCCTCCTCAGGGAGATGCAGAGAGGAATGAGGTCATCCTCAGCCTTCTTTACCCCAAACTAGACAAGCCCAAATTTCCTCAGCTGCTCCTCACAGGACATTTTTTCCAGACTAGCCAGCTTTGTTGCCCTCCTCTGTCTGTACTCAAGGACCTTCACATCCTTATTCACCTGTGCAGCCCAGAACTGCACACAGTGCTCAAGGTGGGAATGGCAGACAGCAGGATAATCACACCTCTTTTGACCTGCTGGTTGTGCTGTGTTTGATGCATCCCAGGATGTGGTGCTCTCTTGGCTGCTTGAGTTTACTGCTCATCTGACCAGCACCCCTGGATCCATTTCTGCAGGGCTGCTTTCTATCTTCTGGTCTCCCAAATTATGCTTGCGTTGGGCATTACTCCACTATAAGTGCAGAACTCTTGTTAAATTTCATCCCATTAATCATAGCCTAATGCTCCAATATATCTAGATCCCTCTGCAAGGTCTTCTGTCCCTAGAGAGTTAACAGCATCTCCCAGTCTGGCATCATCAACAAACTTGCTAATGGGTTGTTCAACTCCTGCGTCCAGATCATTGATGAATGAATGTATTGAACAGAACTGGCCCTGGAACTGAACCCTGAGGAATACCATTGCTGACCTGTCTCCAGACAGAGGTAGCCCCATTCACTACAGCCCTTTGATAAAAACTACAGACCTATTTGTAAAAAAAAAAAAAAAAAAAAAAAAAAAAAAAAAAAAAAATATATATATATATATATATATATATAAAACATCACTACATAGAATTCCAGTGCAGGAAATTGGTGACAGGACACAAAATATTTGAAAAATTCCATAAATCCTAAACTAGCCCCCCAATTTCCTTTCTTTCCTAGTGAACTCTCAATTTGTCTACCCTAAAATCTTGACTCCGAAGAAGTCTAACAGAAGTTCTGCTAAGGTTTCCAGTGGAAATGCCCTTTTATAATTCAAAAATTGATTCACCAGGAAATCAGCAAATTGAAAAAAAGAGTAGTTCATTACTAGGTGCAAGGTATTTCCCAACTGCTACTTGACTTGAAATTCCATAAAGAAAAGCACATTTCTCTGAAGGATTTGTTTCTATCCTACAGCACTTTTCACTGATTATCTATTTCTATTCTAAATTATTGCCTAGAAACAAAATTTAAATGTCCTTTTAAAAGGATAAGAAAAGCTTACACACTTCAATTTTTAACTATATTAAAAATCAAAAGAGCAGCATCTATAGAGAAGTGACAAGATTTTTGTTCAAGATAGAAATAACATACGCCTATGTTTCTTTTGTCCATAGCAAGCATTGCTATCATGGTAGTCATGCAGTTTCCTCCCAGGCTGTCTCTTAGCACTGAGGTCATCATAGAGTTTCGGTAAGGAATGTGGGACCTGTTTTTCTCTGCAAGGGCAATTATTACCTGAAACAACAGCAAAAATAAAAGACTTAAATGTATATGTCTCTTAATGTTTGACAAATAAAGCACATATCCAACATATAAAGAACAAATCCAATCTGCTCAGGAACTTTTAACACAACAAAACTGGGATGCTTATGCAGCCCACTGTTAGCTGCAAACCCACTGGCTTTATTGAAAGAATTCCAAGTTAAATTTCAGCATGTTTATATGTCTTTGTAGGAGCTGGACCTGAAAGACCAAATGCATTAAATTTTATCATGCCCTAGCCTTACAGTCTTTCAGCAACATGGAAACCGAACATGATAAACTCAAACCCACAGGTTTTCCTAAAACACAGGAACTTAATGAAAATCTTCCTCATACTTTTTTGTCATGACTACAAAATATGGATAGTATTAAAGTAAAAATTTCCTCAATATTTGCTAAAGAATGCTTTAAAAATTACACATTCTTAAAACATGCGTTTCCTACATGGGCCAATATATTTCTGAGAAAATGTCTTGGAAAGCATAGCACAAATAAAAGGGTGCATGATTACAGTGTACTGCTGGAAAGAAGTGATTCAGTTTAGAACATATATGCCTTGGCCAAAAAGGAAATTGTACACCTACTATTCTCAGTTTCCCTCCTCAGCTGTTTACATTATGGGACCTAATTATTAAATAAAAAGCTAGATTACACTATGATGTCCTGTGATATAAAAGATGTGAACTGTTATCTGGCCAAGCACTGTAAAATTTTAGCTATATGAGTTGTGCAAGCTCTCCTAAATGATTAGGAGTTGGTTTTTCATTAATAAATGTTACATATCAGTGTATATTTTGTTTATGCTACATTTTAAAAAATTGTTATATTATAAAATTTAGTAGAGTCTTTTTTGTGGTATTAGTTTCTCTTAATGGTCTTCAGAAAGTTAAAACTATAAATCTTACACTGGCAGCCCTGAGAGACACAAATGCATAATAAGAAAATTACTGTCTTGTAAAGGAATCTGGAAACCCATTCCTGCATCAAGGTTTTCAAATCTCATATATTACAACTTGTTATATAGAAACATGTTAAAGCTTTATTGGTTTATAATATTGCATAGAAACCTCATAGTAGTCTAGCACATATATTAATAAGCACATTCCCTGCCTCTTCTACACAGAGACTATAATCAGAATAGACAAGATGAGAAAAGAGTCAGAGAGAAGACATGTTATTTCCATTAAAAATGGGAACATTGTCATAGGGAAGTTCATTTTTTCTGAAGTCCATGCAGGAAGTTGGCAGCCCAGTTGGAATCTGAACCCTCTCACACTAATGCTGAAAAGCTGTGACCAGCTATCGTGATGCATTGTCATCTATCATTGCACTGTCATGTGACAGTCCCATAACACAAACTGTTTTAGTCTAAAGTCCCATTAGTAAAACTTCACCTTAATCACTAAATCAATCCTTACAATCTAATCATGTAATCTGGAATAGAAAGGGGAGAATCTGAAGGAGAAGGCAGTAATATACTTTGAGAAAGTTACAAAGACCACCTGTACAGAAGCTGAACCTGGATTCTCTAAGAGGCAACAAATGCAATAATCAAAAAATTGTCTCATTTAAGAACGTGCTATTATCCTTTAGATATAAAAAGGGTTTTCTTTAATACCTGCAATTTTAAGCTTAACAATGCCACTAAAGCAGAAAATTTCATTTTGAGTAGATCAAACAAACCACTTTAAGTCCTAGTTGCTGTCAGAACTCTTGTCACTTTTTGTGAAATTGAATCCTTTATGAAACAGAGCAGGTACAATCTCTCACAAATAACTCCACTGACATGTGGAAACTCTGTTATCACAACAGAAAGTGCAAGGTTTTCAAATGTTTCTGACATGATCTGAAGTATTCCCAAGAGTCCCTGTTTCCATCCACATCCTTTGTACAAGGAACAGATTTGCAGCAGTATCTCACACCATCATGCTCTCAGAGAATCCTCAATAGACGGGCATTTTGGTGTGCATCCCTTGCAGAAACAGAGGTGTCAAGTACACCCCTAGCTTGCTGTTTAGGGTATCATATGCTCTGAAGCCATATTCCTGCCTGCTTCAGAAAGCTTCTTTTTGTTTCCCGTCCTACTTCCCATTTCTAGGTAGAGTTTAGAAGCTTAAACTGCAGTCTTTGCAGAAAAAGAGCAACCGACCAACAAAACAAAACCAAAAATCCCCAAACAAACAAACTATAAAAAAAAACCCTTTGGTAAATTTAGGCAGCAACCATCCACTAATGGTTAAAATCTTTCAACATTCTGTAAATGGAACATGTGTTAGAAGACTGTTAATGAACACGTTCATTAAAGCAATGAGGACAATGTAACCCGGGTTTTTTTTGAGAAATAAATAATTCCATCGTAGTGTCAAATCACATGGTAGTATAGCTTAATTTGCAACTCTAAATCTGGTCCAGGTTCCTCCATATTTCTATCATAAGGGAATATCTACATATGCACAGTTATATTGCAGTTGTAATTCCAGAACACACTAGTACATCTCAGACAGTAAAAACTACCCAGATACAGTACTAAGGACTTCCAAATTCCTGCTATCATTTCAGATCAGCTGCATAAAACTATCTTCATTTTTCTCTAGATGTAGAGACAGCTCAGAGTAAAAGTGTAGTGGATTTATTTGAAGACTTTTTAACATGCTGTGGATATTTAACAAGTAGATCAAGTGTGGTAACACAGAACTGTGTTCTTATTGTCATCTCGATACAAATCATTTAATATGACTATTTTACTGTGAAAAGTATGTCAAAATGACATAAATAAACACTAGACCACCAGTAGATAGCTAAAGAGTTAAGAATTTTAATAAGCTGATTTTAAGACATTCATGCACTTTAATATTATTCATTGCAAGTTCAGAACTGAATGGTTCTATTCCCATTGATTTGGGGAAAAAAAAGATATTTTTACTGTCTTTGGTGGTCTTTTATTCAGTATTAGAAAATATTTCTATTGACACACAATCCCAGATAGAATCCAACATGCCTATTTCAAATAGTATTTCTCTAAAATAATAATTAAAAGTTGCATGGAAAAATAATTTTTTTCCTGCTAAATACATAAAAATCATACAATAAATAAGAAGTAAATAAAGAAGATCCTGGTATAATTTTTATGGTTCTGCAGATGTCCATTTTAGAGACACTGATCCTTATCATTTCCCTTGAGTACAACTCAAATACAGACATTAATCTTCAAGGTAAAATTTAAACAAATGAGGAGCATGAAAAAAACCTAATGTGATTATAAATGACTGACTGCCACCTGCTGTACCTTAAGCTTCTTCTTTTGACACATGAAATATCTCTGATCATAAATTAAATCCAAGGGATTTGTTGCTAACAGAAAAACATATAACTCACAGCTGAGAAATATTCTTCCCAGCAAGTAGAAGACTTTTATTTTCTAATCATTATTTTAAAGAATTTTCACATATACACACCCACAAAATTTTCAAATTTTATGATCTCCTCAAAAGTATATTTTAGTAAAGAACACATGTACTGTAAGTTAAAAAGTACAGATTTGAATTTTATAGTTAAGCATTTTTTCTTCTTGATTCTCCTTAATTGTTCCCCTAAATGACAGCCTCACAGACCTGCTTTGTTCCTACATAAAAAATTTTAAATAAGTCTTAGGAGAAAATACTGTATTGCCCATTGGAATTCCCAAAATAACTAATTTCTAGCAACAGGAACAGTGTTTGCTGTACTGTTAAAACAATATTAAATATTCAGTCTTAGGAAGAAATTAATTTCTCTTACGGGTACAGGATCTGAAATGGACACTTGAAAATCTTCAGTGATTGCAACTTAATAGCACAGCATTCACAAAAGAAATTTCTTTCATTGCCAAGTGTTTCTTACTCTAACTTGGTAAGCATCATAAACAACAACCATAAAAAACATCATGGTAAATTAGAGAGACATATATATTAAAGCCTTAAAAAATTCTTTTAAAATATAGTATTAAAATAATTATATGAATAATTAACTTAATAATTATCTAATTATTCTAAAATACATATTATTAATAAATAATCATAATCATAATTAACCAAATCTTTTTACTGGAAATCTCCAAAGTTTCCTTTCACTCCTGCTGCCTGAAGTTTGTTTATTTTTTAATGAATAAGGTTAGTTAGGAGCAATCTATTTGCCCAATATTTGACTTCTCCAAAGGGGAAAACCAAAAAGCAACAGTGAAAGAAGGATAGGGATTTTAGTACACCTTAAATTATGAGGCTAAATCTTTTTAGTAACAACAGTTGAATGGCAAAGCTTTGTGGAGATTAATAATAACAAAAACAACAACAATAATAATATTTATTTACATATTATTATACTGCATCTATGAGTACTATTGGTATAAATCCAGTTATGGCAGTCAATCCATAAATACATTACCAATGATAACTTCTGTCTCAAAAAGATCAAAGATTTAAATTGATAGAGGAATAAAACAACACATGAGAGTACAGCCCAATAATTTATCATATTACCATATTAGAACCAAATAAAGCTCAAACATATTATTTTCAGTGATCCATCCTGATACCAGGTGTGGAAGGGGAAGAAGATTATGAAGACTATTTTTAGGAGAAATATAGCTGAAATCTTGTAAATATATTTAGTATTCCAAATAAAACAAGAAAACTAGTTTGAAAATATTACTGTGTATTCCTACTCTAATCTTACTGCTTAATTGTTAAGTTTGCCCTAAATTAAAATATTTTCTTTTAAAGGAAGACACATCAATTCAATGATCTAAAAACTCTGCAATAAATATCCTAAGTAAATATTGGAATAAAGTTTTCCAAAACATTGCACATTGTTAAACAGGAATTTAGTAAAGGGAGAAATGTTTTACTCTTTTACAATTTTACCTGCTCCAAATAATGTAATGAGAGGTTGATATATTTGGCTTCTGTCAGTAACTGGCCTCCAATTCCAGTCTTTGCAACACGTTCTGATCCAGCAAGGTCTACCAGATGCAGCTTGGAGCGTCGGATGGTTGCAGATCCAGGTTCCTTGCTGGAGATGTGAATAGTGAAAATGCAGTGAGATCGGCTTGAGGCTTGATTCATTGGTGTCTACAATGACAGGAAAAAAGAACTTGTTACATTGTGCTCATGGGCATTCTGTTCCCCATTCCCCAGGACCCTGTGACTCTGATCAGATAACCCTGGACCCCTCCCTCCTGCCCTGACAGGGTTGGTGGAGAGCCAAGGATCCCTCCCTGTCCAAAGCCTGGATAAACCCCTGACATTTCCTGTTCATCCTCTTTTGCCCCGCTCTCCCCATGGACATCACAAAATAAAGAGAGCTGCACCAACATATATCGGGGTAAGAGCTTCTTTTAGAAATCTTTGCCATCTCCTGATATTCCTCCCCTCAAAGCCTTGGGTCTCTGGGCTAGGCTGAGAATTTAGGGGCTGAGAGGGGGGGAAAACATCAAGAACTCTCAATGTTCAATTTAACTTTTTATAGCTCAGTAATCTGGCAACTGAAATAATCAATCAATTTTTTAGCTATTGGACCTGTAATGAACGTGCAAAAAGAACCCAAAAGGATTTACCTAACATTCATATTCTACAAAAATACTTGGATAACTTTAATCTGGACAAATTGTACTGTAAGCAATTAAGGATGGTCCAAAATCCTCTAATATCAGCAAAACAAGTGGCCTTAATAGATGAGGAATACTAGAAAAGGGCAGCTTGACTTGAGGGAAAATTACTGAATGCTGATCTCTGAGAACTTATTAATTTCTCCATTTGTACATCAATTTATTTTTTTTATTTTTTCCCCAATAACAAACACTAGGACTTCCTATAAGGCTTTAAACTTCTGCATTATTACTTATACGAAAAAATTCTACTTGGCAAAATCAACATCAGATTTTTAGGTGGCATGACAGAGTTTTCATAAAATGTTTGGCTTTAGATGTATTTTTTTGGGAATAACTACAGCCACACTTTCTTAATTTAAAACACAGAAAGTCTTGGTCAATTTTTAGAAATGTGCAGTCAGCATCACTTCAGAGGTTTTCTCAATATATTTGAAATGCAGGACCAAAAGATTTAAACAGCTCTCAGGTATTTAACTTTAGATATTAAATGATCATATGCCATCACATATGTATTTTTATTAAAAAACATATAAAATATCTAAAGTACCTTTGGTTTAGTTGTATCAAGGTACTGTTAGAAACCTAAAACTAAAATTACTCTACATAATCCTCATTTCATAAATAGCTAAATCTTGAGATTATATATGGAGATTAAAGGTTAAGCATACAGATAGAATTTTTATTCATAAACTAGAACAAGTATGATTATATTGTTTTCAGGACATAAATGCTGACCCTGCAAAAAACAGAGTAGTAAAATAATAAATCAATATTACTGAGTCAGCAACTAAATCTATATTTATTTATAGCAGCTGAAAAAAGTAATAGAAACATCATAGTTATACTGTTTACATTAATCTCTGGTTTCTACTTTATTCCTCTGTTTTTCTGCAGTAATTTTTTTTATGTAGACCTATCCTGCGATTCAGATCAGATATATCAATATATTGCCTTTATTTCACATAATCTGCCTTACCATGCAACACTGCAAATATTAAAATGGTTAAAATGTTAAAATTGCAGGGACTGAAGATGTTGTCTTATTGATCCAGAAAGGACAGCTCTTAACAGAAAGACTACAAGCTGAAGAGTCCTTTAACAGGAATAATATGGACCATTTGGTTCAATTTTCTCCACTTCAAGTTCCCCTTCTTTTTAAAGCCTTAATAGTGCCAGCACAACTAAATGGGTTTTGGGAACTGATCCAGCTAAATAAACAAACAAACAACAACAACAAAAAAACAAAACCAATAAAGCATAGCTATTTAACCTGAATCCGTTTCTTGATTCAGCCACAGCACAGCTATGGAAAGCAACTGTGGCAGAGCACCTGAAAATGGCAGCACACTGGATGTGAACAAGTAGGCAGTGTGCAGAAATAGCATACACTTGTGGCTGTTGGTGAAAATTTTGTGAGGACATTTCAGCCTTCACAGTATTTTCTTTTGGGCTACTTTACCTAATACAGGGAAGCTCAAAGGGAGCGGGAAAAGAATTTTGATCATTAGTTTATACAGATGAAGAATTTTAGAATTCATGATCCTGTGAAATGGGGGGAGTGCAGTCACATGCTATGCTGTCCTCAGAGGTGATGCTGGGCAAATGAAGAGGAAGTGAGTTGTAGTGCTGGAATGAAAATAAAGAGGCTGAGGGAAAGGTGTCAAGCAAGAAAACACTCCCAAACGTACTTAAAATGCAGTTATACTAAGAAAAAGTTATATGCTGTGAAAATGTACTTTATTCAGCAATTTTGATTCCATGAATAATCAGAGCCAGCTTCACTTATTTTATTAGGACAGTTATGACTTTTTTATTTGCAGCTCTGTGAAGCAGGACTGGATTTTTTTTTCCAGCTAAAAATCCACAACAGACTTAATATTTAAGGACACATTCTCCTTGACAGAGCTGATATTTAGGCACATTTTGCACTAGAGAGATGGTATCAATCACACTATACTGCAGACAAGCCTAAGCCAGATCAACTATCAGTACAGGCGAAAGCACAAAGCAAATGTTGCTATGACAGAAGCTGAAGAAATCATCATACATCTGAATAAGTATTGTTAAGCAAACTTCAGATTCACACTGAAGCAAAACCTTATCTATTTCAAAAAGGGCTTTTAGTCACACCCATTTAATCCCAACAGAGGCAAAAAAATTTAAAATCCTAAAAGAACATAATTTCAGGACTCTGAGTTCCAAAGAGCACATGGCAATATTTGCTCTACAAGGTTTTTATTACCTATTCTCTGATACACTAGCTGCAACCTTTATTTTGAGTGTTCCAAGTAGATTTGGCTAGACGAGTCATTAGAAATTCAATTGCTTTTCTCTCCACAGTTTTTTTTTTTTTTTTTTTCACATGCAAATGAAAAAAATTAAGGAAGCTGATTTGGAAGTCATTGGCTAGAATCCCAAACTGGCATTTTTGTGAAGTCCTTCTTCAGAGTAGAACCATGGCTTAATCAAGACACCAATATTCCTTTCTGCAGTGTGATTCTATTTCTGGTTTGGAGTTCCCATATATAGGAAGCTCTGTTAGAACTCTTGGAGAAAGCATAAAGCAATAAAAATTTAAACTGTTAAATGGGATGCGACCATGAAATGTTAATTTCATTATCCCCCCATGCTTAGCTACTTTTACCACACAAGTAGATTCACAGCACACAACAGAAATGATGATGTGTTGGTATCTCCAGTCCAAGAACAAGCCTTTTCTTTTACTATTTGGTTGTTATCTTACATATAAAACTTCTGAGTATCACCATTCATCTGTTTAGAAAGTTTGAAAACAGAAAACAAATAACATTTTCTGCACAGTGTCTCTGAGCCTAGTAAAATGTTCCTTTGGTGGTTTTCAGAGTTCATTTTGGCTTTGTTAGTAGTATTCAAACCATATGTATATGAAATCATCCTAACACTAATTTGATGTGATGAAGGAAAAAAAAGAAAGAGGGGAGTGGCCTGGTTCTCAGCAGATGGTTGCTATTGTGAGAGTTATATATAGAACAACTGATGAGCAGCAGTTACTTACAAAGAATAATTTTTTCCAGGAATTCTGTTACATCATGAACCACATAAGTAGACTTCAGATGTTTTGTGATATCACATGAACGCTACAAAGGACTTAATGCCAGGTCATCTATTGCTGCCTATTTGTGGCCTGGTAAAAGACAAATCCAGTAATATTGACTTGGTAAAGCATCAGCGCTTAATTTGATCATGGAAAATATGTACAAGGTGTATTTCAAGCCATACAAGCTAGTCCTGTTTTTTTTCAAGGGCAAAAATATACCTGTGTCTGCTGAAATGAAATAAATTGTATAGAAGCGTTGTGACTTTAACTACTACATCTATCTATACAATGGTTGCAAAAGGATGGCTTCTACTTAAATGAGAATCTACATCACAGTCATACTGGAAGAAGCTTCTAGTTGGATATTTCTGTCAAGGAATACAAGGTCAAGAACCATCCAAAACTTACTGGAACCTAAGTTGTCCATCTTAATCTAATTCTTACCCATCTTAAGTCTGCAAAACACTGCAGGAATTCTTCCTTATACAGGAATTTATATATTTCCCAAATCCTTTATTTGTTGCAGCTGCTATTATAAATGTTTTCACTAAAAATAGTGAGAAATGGATGCTATAGGTCTAAATAGCATTTTAAGGATTGAGGACCTAAGAAAGAAAAAGTTTCTTAAATAGGACAAAGACATATGAGAAGCTGTTTGAAAATCACCACTAGACTAACAGAAGCTGCTACTGTCTGGAAGAATAATGTGTTAAGCATGGCTGCCAAAACACTGACAGAGATAATACATGAAAGGGTTCAGGACCACTGGGACAAAACAATTTTGCAGGTGATAAATGCAGTTAAGCCAATATTGCAAGCCATCTCCACTTGGCGACTCATGCAGGAAAATCATGTTCTTCTGCTGTCTAAATATTTTGATTCAAGGAAGAAAAGATTCCACTGGAATGGTATGAGTGAATTAGTTACTAGCTAATGAATAAAGAGAGGCTGATTCTGAGTGTTCAGAGTTTTTTGAGAGCATGTCTCAGTAAAAAGGTACAAAAATTTCTTTTAAGGAATGTTTCTTTTCTTAAGGTTTTTTTTTTATTCTGAGCATTTCAAAGAGAAAGGGGAAAAAAAAGAAAGTACTCATAGCATCCAAGATGGATATCAAATCAATTTTCTCCAATCTCATGTTACAATCAGAGGGATATCTATAGGAAGATGTTCTGATAGCTTCAGTCATTACACAGTTCAGATGGATATCTCTGTCTAATTAATATAAACTCCAGATCCAACAGAACTATGCTGTAAGGAAGAACATGCAAATTGAAGAATAGAAGGTGCTTGTCTTTATATTTGGTAGATGAGAGAGACCCCAGCATGTCTTTTGTTTCCTTTCTAAATATGTTACAGGTGAAGGGGCTCTTCAGTTGTACTTAGGTACACTTGTCATGTTGAAATTGAAAAATTGTTGCTATGAAAATATCAGGATCAGAATAGGTGTAACCACTTCCCAGAAGCAATACTTTATCTTTCCATATTTACTACCAGTACAGTTTTACAGACCATGATAACTTTCAAACTCAGGTAACTTTTAAAGTAATTAATATTCCCTGGTGAAGACATTATTAATTTTCTGTTATATAGTGATAGTGCTTTTTAGCCATATAAATTCCAAAGCATTTTAATGACTGCTCAAAGTAGTATGTATGACCAATAATTTTTTTTACCACACATAGAAATCAAACCACCTGTGCTGAAATAACAATGCTATTTGGTCCTCCTAATACAATATTACAGCTTTGTCAGAGTGTAAATAATTGACACCAAAGAGGAACCTAGGAAAGCAGAAAGTTGTAGTCTTCTAGACTGCAGCACTAAACTAACCCAGATAGCATGCATTTCTGTCAAAAGTGATATTTAATCTCATATACTCACACACTGAAATCCTATCTCATTCAATAAATAATGCAGTTGAACGCTACCACTGGCTTGCTAAATATATTCAAGAGAATATTAACATACAATAAATAAAAATCAAATTAGTTCAATTCACAGGTCATAAGTCAGTCCCCAAAACTACCCTTAAATCTTTAAGTTTCATTATTTCTTGAAATAAATATATGTAAACATTGCCAAAAACTTACTGATTGCCCCAGTGGAACAAATACTGTGTTATATACACTGTATGCCAAATTTTAAAAATTGAATGCTACAGGTATAAAACCATACATTGAAACATTTTCTTCTTCATTAAAACAAAGTACCTTCTCATTAGAGGAAAAATAAATTCCAACTGTACATGTAACTACAGTCCTCAGACATACTAATCTCAGAAAAGGATTTTACTGTTTTGAAATTGCTGCACATTTTTGGGAAACTACCTTAATTTATTGATTTAAGGAAATACTAAAAACACTAAGAATTCTCAAAATCAGAGGTTGAGGCATGTTGTTTCAAAAGGCAGAGGTCATATGGGATTTCCATCACAAGAAAAGACCACTTCAGCTGAAGATATATTAATATTATACCAAAATAAAATGGTTTAAGAATACTTCCTAAATGGTCAAACTCTTATTTCTACACAGGTTCTTTTTTAGATGTTGCTGCTACCTATTTCTTACACTGAAAATTTGATTTTTAAATCCTCAGCATACATTTCCAACACTGAAATCATAAAGTTGTCTTAACAGACTGAAAATATAAGAAAACAGTTCCGATTTTATAACCTGTTGCTGCAGATTCTTATGTATTCAAATGTAGCACAAAACTGCTTTATCAGAAAGCAAGCAAAAACCTACTCCTTATATTTAGCAGAGCTGCCAACAAAAGACTGTTTTTTTGGTTTTGATCTCTGCCTATTTCTCTCTGCCAAAATATGCAACAAAACCAAAAATCCTATTTGTATTTTTACATTATGAATTGTCTGTGCACAAATGTCTCCCATCTTACCATTTACACAGATCATAGTGCACATCAGAACTGGAGCAAAGGACCAGTCTTACCTTGCCTAGTAAAGCAATACTGCACAAACTAGATTAGTTTCCTTTTTCTTCCTTTTCTTGGGTTATATAGTTACATGTGGGAAAGAAGCATTCGGTTATAAATGTTCTCTTAGGTTCTGAAATTTAAAGAATGAACAAATGTTGCCTAAAAAGTACTTTTAATATTGTGATGACTTTCTTTTTAGCACAATCAGTGATGAGGGAAAAATGCACCCCTCAAATCATAGGTTAGATTGCATCAGCATAGGCAATACGAAAGTTAAATTGTCATTCTTATTTTCAAGATAGCCAACTCTTCAAAGAAAGATTATTCAGGATTAAGGCAAAAGATTGCAATTTTAGAGACTAGAGATCTCATATATGATCCATGAGATTCATCTGAATTTTTCTGCATTCAAACTCATCAATAAAAAAGATTAATCCAGCATTTATATTACTTTGTTTTCTATTTAAGTTTATTAATGTTGCTTCTTTTTCTTTAAAGAGGGTTAAAATCTTCAGAAGTCAGAAAGTATTATCAAAACTCAAGATCTAAAAATATGGATCTCTGAAGAAGTTATGTTTTATGTCGTAAGTCCTCTTTCTTAGATCTCTAGATTAACACTTTTCTATTACACTTTGTCAAGTTCCTCTCCTGGACACAGTACCAATTTTTCTATTTCAACATCATGAAGCAGTTCCTTGCCTCAATGCCCAGGTTTATGAGCAGCCCTTACGTTGATTATCTCTTGCCTTAACATACTACTACCTCTCAAAATGTAACAGTTGAAATAGTCATCCTTAAGAAAGAATAAGTATTTGTGTTATCAGTTTGCATTTTGTAATCAAATGCTTCTTCCCCTGTGTCCAGGTATAGTGGTCATCCAGCAGGAACACAGTCACTACCTGACTATTCATATATTCTAAGTGTCTTTCTTGTCAATGATTTATGATGTATCCTTTTGGAGATACAGAGGAAGAAAACCCAAAAAGTTCTAAAAGAGAATTAACACTATCATAGTAAAGACACATTGCTGGTGCCCGTATTATACAATACATTTCTTATATTTACATTCCATATCCAAGCATGAAAGAAAAAAAGAACCTTACAGATATCAGATAAGGAAACATTTAAATTTTTCAGAATCAGTAAAAATATCCTTGTGCTTGAATATTGGCACATATTTATTTTGAATTTCCTTTGAACTACCATCTGGGGTTTTGGTGAGATTTATTTGGTTGGTTTTGGGGGCCTCTGTTTTGTTGGAGAGGTTTATTTTGTGTTTTTCCACATAACACCATTTGTTTATTCAATAAGAAGGAAAAAAAGAGGGAACTTAATATAAGTACTTCAAAGGCAATTGAGTGCTTAGTCACAGAATGGTTTGAGTTGGACAGGACCTTAAAGATCATCTTTCTCCAAGCTCCTAGGTCCCTCACACTCCATCAGGAGGGAACATGTTGCTCAGGGCCCCATCCAATCTAGTGTTGAACACTTCCAGGGAAAAATTTCACTGGGAATGTTTGACAATGCTTTGCAAGGACATATTTTCTTATCTTTACATGTCTGTATATGTTGATACATGACACATTCAAATATAAGTTTATTGTTTATGAGAATTTCTGTATTCTACTTACATGAATTTCAGTAAGTTATGACATCAAGAACCACCAATCAGATCCTCTATTTCTATGATCTGTCATCATATAAATGCTTATTTAATTTCACTGTGGAAATACACTCAAAATGAGGATACTAATTTGTGTCCAAGGACTTCTAAAATATACATTTTATTTAAGAGAGTAGGAGAGATGTTTTTGACCACTAACTTTGGTGGTGTTAAGAAGATTGGAGCAGTAAATCTCACCTCAGCAATCATTCTGTTGGTGTCCCCCAAGAAAAGTAGGTTTAAGGCTTCCTCTTCATTGGTTGCTTGCTGAAGAGACAAGTTTTTCAGGTGAATGTTTTGATCAGAGTCTTCCATTATTGTCACTTTTCTACATGCAAAAGAAAAACAACAATGAAAAGTAGAGTTTTAATGCAATGTTGTTTCATACTTTAATTCTGATCGCACCTAAAAGATGAAATCTAAACCTCAAGCCAAATCATCATGAAAAAACATGACAAATAAATGATACACATTAAAGGAAATGCTGATATCTTTTACTGTCATCTTCTTTTTATTCCTTTATAATGAAACTTCACATAGAAAACTAATATAAGAAAAGTTTTAGAGAAAGCTTTGGGATTTTTATTTATTGAGAGTAATTTCAAGAGTAAGAGATTAGATGAATCATCACAAACAAATAATATATAAGGGTTTGTTTGCTATTACCAAGTACAGATGATTCATAAAACATACCATTATTTTGACATACAAATATACATGGAATCAGAATTAACACATTTGTAGTCAACATGTTTCTAATAACTTTGTCAAGACTATTTGTCTTTTCATTTTTCTTAAATGGTAGTAACTACAACTGTTCCTTAAATTAAAAGCAAGCCAACAACGATTATATTTATTCCCCCTGTTAGAAACATTCTTAGTTACACATCTATAAGACTAAAGCTGTCAGAAAGGAATTGGATGCTAGTATCAAGGATATGGCAAAAGTTCCAGAAGAGCTGCTAAATATTACTGAAAATCCTTTTCACTTCTTTGAATAGTACTTCAACATAAGATTTTTTTTTTTTTTTAGTGGTTACTGGGAGTTAAACTTTATTGGCATTACTGAGTAGCCATTAGGGTCTCCTCAGCTGAGACATCCTTATAGTATCCAATGTGGTGGCCAAGTAGTTGCCTCACTGGATTTGGAAAATTCAGAAGAATCTGTCAAAACAGAAATACACTAAATCTGAGGACAAATGTCTTTCAGAGTGAATTACATGTTCTGATACAATTTAAAACAAAGTAGAGCTTTTTTTAGAAATTAGGAGTTGTTTTTATTTAAACTAAAACTATTTTCTATGTAAGTGTAGATAATATTTTCTATCTATACATAAACACCTATATATATACGTATATAAGTATTTAAATATTTTTTTCATGTTCTTCAAGATAAACCACAAGAGGGAGTATGGGGCTTGAGTTTTTATCAGTAGGTAGTTCTTTCAGGTTAATTACTCCAAGTTGCTTCAAAGGTAGAGAGATTGGATTTTTTCTTGCTTTACTTTCCCTTCCTCCCCATCCCAAACTAAGAATGAAATCAAGTATCAAAGCAGCATTCCATAGTATTGGGAGTAGCTCAGAGTCTGATGGTCAAAACATTCAAATTAATGTAGAGAAATAATTTTAATACATTGCAATGCACTCACTCTTTTCAAGAAAAATTGCACATAAAAGTACACACAAATCTTCTTTGGTAGTTATAACAATTGCTGTTCCAAGTATTATTGCCTCCCACTGTTAGTCTTATCTTACCAGGCCACAAAACTCAACTTCCCCATTCACAGCATAAACCCCAGAGTAGTCTTGCATATCAAACTTTTGATAATGTCAGATTATATTCTGTCTGCATCTGCGTGTGCACTAAAGCCCACAGCAGTTCTGATTAGTGTATACCCTTATTAACTTGTGCCCTTTCCTGCATGAACTGAGTTGCCACCAGTGCAGGAGAGCCTTGTGCACTGAATGCTTTAACTTATTAAATTCTTGTTACTGGCAAACATTGGCCTTAAACTTCCTTTGATTAATTAATACTACTTCATTAACTTGTGTACTATAAATAGTATTAAAAAACCCACTTCATATATGTTGGAAAACAAATGACCATTTTAAAAGTCAAGCTTCCTATTATTATATCTGTCTCTAGGGCTTAGAATTGAAGAAATCTAAAATAATCTCACAAACATGACAAACATTTAAAAATTAATCATAAAGATGCAAACAACATATGAAGATATACAACTATGTCTATACATGAGCAGAATATAGTGTCACTACATCATTGTGAGGAGACTGTGGAGCTGAAAATAAATTTAGGATAAAGTTAAAAGAGAAAAGCAGCAAGTAGACATCTTGGAGTCTGTTCAGAAGAACAGAATAAATTAATGGATACACATATTAATGGATACACATAAGCAATGTTTTGTAAAGCTGTAAGGAATTTTACCTTTTAGGAAAGAATTGTCAGGATAATCCTCTTATATATCATCCCAAAAAGATGATATTTCAAAAGTACAAGTCTCTGAATACCACAAAAGAGGACAAAGTCAGCATGTATTCAAGAGGCAAGGTCACAAATTTATTCAGCTACCAACACCACAACAGAACACAGATTTGATTTTCCATCCAAGTAGAGATTTAGGGCATAATCTCCTTTATGAGACATGGCAGAACTATGAGATGAGTAAGGGCTTGTGCAGACTGTTTGCTTGACACATCATATTGTGATAGGAAATCCTTCCCACTGTCTCCAATGGATTCTGTTTTGAGACAACAAAAACACAGTTTGGCTGTTCTGGATGCTATGGACGTGACTGGAGACTGTTACATACTAGGGGTTAATGATTCATGTAACAGTGAACCTGAGCAGGCACAGCCTGCACAGTGAGGTGCTGTGCACACTGTGGGGCATTCAGGCCCGAGTTGTGCTGCACAGATCCCTTGGCTGCCAGATAAATTCACCGAGTTCTCAGGAGAACACCTTCTAGAATGAAGCTGCTTTCTTATAAGAAAATAATACAAAGGCTTAACAGAGCAAAAAGGAGACCCTCTCTCCATGACAGGACCCGTACTGCTCTTGTGCAGTGCGCTGTAGGGAAGTCATTCAGGCTCTGTCCAGCACTGCATGGATGCAGGGCACCCAGCAAGTGATGGGATGCAAGATTTACTTGCCACCTATCTTCCTCCCCTTATTCTATCTTAATAAAGCAGTTACAATATCAAAATATTTGTTTTAGCAACAAATTTATTGCTAAACCTTTCTAACTGGCATCTGGAAAAAGCTGTGCACTCTCTATCTCCCTCATCACCCCACCATGTAGAACAAGGAATCAAAACTGAAACAATGAGATCAGCGATTCATGTACGAACAAAACATACAAAATCTGTTAGAATTTGCAGGCAACATTAATAATCTCACACACAAAAAAAATAAGTCAAATAAATTTTGACATTTGCTCAAATGCTTGCAAGAAAAGTTACATTTAAGAAGCTTTACTGGATTTTATACAAATCAAATCAACATAAAACATGGATGTGAATAACCTATATATCTCACATGCTTAAGTTATTGTATGCTTTTTAAGTGTAATTTGTTTGAACTGTAATTTTAAAAAATCATAATTTTAGAAGAAATTATTCAAAACAATTTTTAGCTGTCTCCTAACACAATGAACACTCTTAATTTTGAAAGAACGTATTTCATATAAAAAAGTGAATTAATAATATTATTAGCCTTCAAAGTTTTAAAATACTGATAATTCTCAGAATGCTGGAGATATATTATCTTGTAGGTTTATGGTTGGTGGTGAGTTTCCAAATTACATAGTTGGTACAGCCATCAAAAGGAGCTGACATTAACACTGTTTAGACTAGAAGGGAGAATTAGGTTTATTTGCATCAAAAAAAATCAGACTGAATAAAATATACATATATATGTGTTTAAAATTATTCCTTTAGCCTTTTTTGCATTCTTCTTTGTTAAGGAAAACAGGAACTATTTTAGTAGTTGTTTTAGATTTCCTCGTCAGTCTTTAAACCCTTGGAGGGCAGTAGAAAAACAGAAGAGTATAAACTCATTTGAGTTAATTTTCCAATATGCAGTACCAGGTTTTGTTTTAAAGGGAAGTTATTTCACACTGACCCCATGGAACATAGCAGTTCTACATGTTACTAACATATGTTGATATAGACATCATTGCTGATGTTTGAAGTTTATTGGCTCTGAACTTAAAGTGGGATTTTATCAGACAGCATCATACTAAAAATTAAACATTTCCCTCTCAAAGACGACTTTAAAGAACATTCACATAAAAATGAGCAATCCCTTTTGCTGACTTGCAATTTAGGTTCTATTTTCCCCTGGCCACATCACTGCAGAGTAATGGTTGTCTGAGCTCCCTGACAAGTAGCTCCTCAATTACTGCAGCTTAGACTGTCATTCTAAGGCAAAAACACCATTAATTGTAGTTTGCCTTCACATGCCATCAGACAGATATAGCAGTAACTTATTGGTTACCTATAAATAAATCTAGTCATTCCTGACTAAAGGTTCTGTAACCTCAATCTTTACTTTTGTGTTATATATGGTGTCAAATTATTTTTTATTTCTGGATAAATAAGAACATGTTAGGAAGAGTTTTAGTGGTAGGTTGTAACCAAAGTGAAATTCAGTAACACTGGATTACATAAATTACAAATACACTGCAACCAAGAACCTGTTGGAGATAAATACTTTAGAAAAGTATTCCTAATTTGAACTCCTGCAAAACTTTCATGAAAACATAAGGTGGCAGTAAATATTTAAATAGTCTTCTACCAGTTTTATTTTATAGCAATAATTTCATAGGTTTATATATTGAAAACAATCAATTTCCTTCTAGGAACATGGAATTCTCTACAGCTACAAGCAGAATTAGATTGTCAATATTAAATTCAATTTCTTCATAATTCTGTGTAGGAATCTATATATGTATACATATGGATGTGTAGCTATATGGCCCATATTCATGCATTTGTCAGAAAATTATTTCAAGAAAAGTTGTTTTGTGATTGTGGTTGTTTTGTGATTGATTTTGTGGTTGTTTTTGTGAGAGCTCTTCCTTTCTCATCTGGCAGACTCAGATGAAATGGGTAAGCAGTGCTAAGATGAAAATTTCATAGTCTACAGAATATACAAAGTATGGCTACACACAAAACCTTGAGTTCAGGAGCTGAGATTCCAAGTCTAATCATGTAATGTTTAGATGCAATGGACAATTTTTAAAATGTTTATTATTCCCTTTGCCTTAAGCAACAAATACAGTTTTAATGTCTATTTTTTCAAGTACTATCAACAAGCCTGTAGTATATCCACAAGCTTTTCATAACTTCTATCACCTGAATGCTATCTGTATTCAGTTCTTAAATTGAACTGGCAACAAAGCTAAGAACAGAGTTTGCTGGTCAGAAGTAAATATCTTTCATTCAAATTACATTCCCTTCTTTTGCAATAATATGGATAGCAATACTCTTCCAGAACAATCTGCACATTATATGATGTTAACTAATCTTTTTGCTCATTCTTCCAAAATGACACATTTTTCAATACTCTTGTCCATCTTAAATGTTTAGGAAAGTATGAGCACTGACAGCTAATATTTATCCAAGAACATAGGGTGAATATCCTGCCTTTGGCTTTTTATGGTACCCAAAGCTTAGATGATCCACTGTGGAGTTCAACAGAAAATTATGTATAATATGAAACTTTTAAAGTACAAAAACCATAAATTCTTTTTAATACTCTCATTAAGTACGGGTTGTAAAGCAAACAAAGTTATTATTTTGTATTTGCTCACTGTCACTAAAATATTAAGAGGTTTTAAGCACATAAAATTCTCCAATAAATATATATTAGGTGATAAACACCTGCTAAATTTTAAAATATGTGATTATTATTTACTTATAAGTAACCTCTATCATTTAAGAAAATTAATCAAGTACTTGAAATACAGTTAATCACACAACAACCCATTCCTACAGCTTTTACTCCCTTTTTAGATCAGAATGGCACTAGATATTTTTGAGTTTTGAATCCCCAAACTACAATATTAAAAAAATAAACAAAACATGTTATTAATTAAATAATTTTACACATACTAAATATGAGTCATGTAGGTATAGTTTTAGTTTGCAGAACATATTTTATTGGCACATGATGTAGTAGGATTAATAATGTCCATGTACAGTAAAACCTTAAAGCACTTTATTAATATTACTCTGCAGAGAAAAATTTATTATCTTACTAAAACTCATCCTACAGTATATAAGTTTACTATCTAAGTTTACAGGTAATTATGATTATCCCAGCATGCTTTAGTCCTAATTTACAATCAAATTATCTATCAACTTTTACATTTTAAAATAACTTACACACAACATCATAGTTATTCTTTAATTAAATCACCATACATAAACCTAATTGGATGATTCTATAAATCACAATTATTAGCAAATATTCAGTACCTAGTTTTAGAAGATTACATTTTCTAGAGCATGTGACCCCAAATATCTGCTTCAAAGTTGCAATTAAATTACTAAAATCCAGTTTATTTGAAGACATTAATTCTTATAAAATGTTAATTGGAATTAGTTCAGATAAAATATTTCAAATAACTTAGTAAATGAAATTAATAATGCAATAATCTTGAATACTTTAACAGCATTAAATTTAATAAGTAGAAAAGTATAACATATTATTTACTATTTTTTGTCCATGCAAAACTGTACATGGAATTAAATTATATTATTCAAACTGGCTTCTGATTAAAATTTGTCTGAATGCCACAGGAAGCAGATAATAAATTAAATTAGAATCCTAAACTTCATATTGAAAGACACTGGTGATGACACACAGTCCTCATAGCACTGATGTGTCATAAAGCAATAACATTTAATTCCATTTATCAGGTAAAGAAGTTAAAACAATTAGACCAATTCACAGCCCAGTCCCACACTTTGTATTTAACTGCTGTCTTCCTAATCTCTAGGTTAGATTATTCTATAAAGATCAATCTTGAAAAATATTTTGTACATACATGTCCTAGATACCCCATTCTGTGTGGAAAAAGAAAGCTCCATTTAAACACAAAATATTGTGTTGCAAGAATTTTTAATAAATAAAATGATTTAATAATATGCTAATAACATAATTGGTTATTTCAAAATAAAATTCTACTGATTTTCGTTTATTGTCCTGTTGAAAATTTTCATTATGTTCCCTGCTCTTGTATCAGCAGTGATTTCATTCTATTTACAAGTATCTGTTACTATCATGTTGAGTGATAAAATTCATGGTGCCCAGCATTATTTCAGGGCACTTGGGAATCCAGTACACAACTAACTTATTCACACCTATTTAATGTTTGCCTAGCTATTTAAAAATTAGACAGACTATAAACTATTATTTCAGACTTGAGGACTAGGATTTGGATTTCCTAAAAATTAGAAATCTTTAACTTCACCATCTGGAGCATTCATGACCTACAAACTTTTAACTACTTTTCTCCAACCATGAGTAGGTGCTAGTGTCTGATCAATGACTACTCTTATAACAACCATCCATTCTGAAGGAAATATATTTTTCTTTGGAGTTCCTTGTGGCCCATTTTCTAGCTGTAACTTACCTTATTTCATAACTGCATATTCTAGAATTATTCTTAGAGGAAAAGAAATAGAAGAAGGGAGATTTTCTCATACTGTTGCAAGGAAATAGGACCTGTTGTGTGTCTCTGACACACACAGCCATACAAAGAGACAGGCTGCCATGAGAAAAACAAGTGCACTTTCTCCTTGTCAGGGGCTGCAAGAGACCTCTTCTGCATAAAAGCAACAAACACTTTTAATCCTTTCACCTTCAGTTATGCCCTACCCTCCATACACACAAAATAACAGAATATTTAGGCACCATTGACAAAATTGTGAAAACCAAGTATTCTGATTAAATTAACACTGACATCAGTAGCACAACTTCAAAAAGTCCCTAAACAATGTAATAGGGTATATGAAAATGATTCCTCTTGGTTTTGATGATTTTCTGTACTTATTACTTACGGCAAATCTTCCATTCTAGAGGCCTCATGTCTTGGGTCCAGCAGATCATAACCACATTCATTGTAGATTTCTAAGTAGGAAACATGAGTTGTGTACACTTTACTGCTATCCTGGATAAGAAAAAAAATAGTGCTATAAACAGAAGTTAGACGTAGATTAGAAGACAAACTTATTTCTAAAGCTTCTAGGTCACTTTCTCACTTTCTCTCTTTTCCTGGATATGGCACACATGTTAAATTTTTGATACTTTCATGTTATATGTTACCATATGCATAAAGACTCAAGAAAAGAAAGGAAAAAAAAAACCCACAAGCACTCCCAACCAAAATAGAGACACACACACAACTCACTTAAACAAAAATCCCCCACAAAATACCACCATTACCATGAGTTTAGTCTGGGATTTTTAATTGATTCTGTATACTTTAAAAAGTCTGTATATATTTAGAACATGGGAGCTGCTTACAGAACTATGCAACATGACATTTTTCTCTTCTGCACTAAAAAAGAAAGTTCTTATAATAAGGTAAATGCTCATATTATAGATAGAAAGACTATGCTTAAAGAAAAAACAAAGTAAAAGTAAAAACATCAACAAAAATAAGATTTATTTTATTTAGAAACTGCTTTTCATTCTCTTTATCATAACATTAGAGCACTGTACATGATGTCAGCTGTTCTCTGCAATCACAATTCTTTTGGTAAATTACATTGCCAAAAAGTAATTCAACACAACTGAGTTTTACCGACAATTTTCCCCTGTCTCAAAGCCAAATCCAAACAACATAAACCTCAAAATAGTGGGCTATGATTTCCAAAATTAAAGAAATAAAAGAGAATAAAAAAAAATCAATCACTTCTTTTCAGCAGATAAAACCACTGTGAAAGCACTCATATCACATTTGAAATTTGACACTTCAATCCACGACAGTTTTTTTTTTGCAAAATACTTTGAGATATAACTTGTCACTTTCATTTAATAATTATTTTCCATGGCTTTTTTAATTGGTTATGACAGTTCACTATTTCAAGGGACATAATTTAAGAGATACACTACAGATGGATGTAAAAAACATAGTAAGGAACAGTTCAAACAAGATGCCATGAAAATAGGAGAATTTCTAAATTAAAAGGAGATGTTATTAAAAACAAAGGGCTTGATTTTCTTCTCATTTAGTTCTCCAATTTTGCTTCTTTGGTTTTGAATTGCACTGTCTTTGTCCAAGCAAGAATTTAACAAGTCTTATATTTCATGTCCCTGATTTCACTTTCTCCTGTTTCATCCTACTTAGGATTAGAAGGCAAATTTCTTTTCCACTATTTGAGCAGCTTCCAAACCACAGTTGTAGATATAAAGTGCAACAGGGGAAAGATATGAAAAGAAAGGCAAGAGAAAAGATAAAACACCAAGACGAGATCCTTTAAAATCCACTAAGAAAAGGAATTATACAAAACAATTTTGAAGCAGGAAATTTGAAATAGCCCTATAAGTGTGACTAAGTATAGCTTTTGATCCAAAATCCAGTCTGAAGTGAGAAACATTGGTATTTCTGTGCCGAGAATTTGACAAACATATTAGTTCTTTTTCATCCTATTTTGTTTGTATGATAAACCTGTTCACTTTCCACAACAAAAGTCCTCCACGGAGGTTGTGTGAGTGCAGCAGAAGGTTAAAGATAACATGATCATGTGGGGTTTTTTAATTTCTGTCCCCACAGTGGCAAGTTTTTGTGCACCTGCCACATGCTATGTACATTTACCTGCCAAAGTCATACTTCCAAAAAGCCAAAGTAATTACTTATCCATGTTAACCCTTACTGAGACAGGGCATATTAATGTAACTGAGCCATATACCCTTATGCAAACAGACTGGTTCTCTGTAGTACACAACTGAAAGAGCATAAGTGTACAGTGGAATGACTTATGCTAATGTCAAATCATATTTAAATTGGCTTAATTAAATAGCTTTGCTTAAATGTTAAGATTAATGAGTCATATGCCTGATGGAATAAATGAAGAGACAAAATATAAATTACACCAGACTCCTCTCTTCACTTTCTCCTATAATTACAAAAGCACTGGAATAATTGACTGTATTGACTCATGTAAATATTTCAGACACTAAAAGAAAATTAAATTTCTCACAAATATAATAAATGTAAAAAAATCAGTGTGTTTACTCTGGCACATCCTCTCTCTTATCAACTCATTCAATTGCATAAAAAATTCAAAATGAAATGCAATGCATGCAATACAAAACCAGAGTGGAGGTGATATAAGTGTTAGACAAGGAGAACCACTTGTATGATCTGAAGGGATGCTGCACTGACTAAAAATAACCTGGTTTTTAAAACTACAAAATCCCCTCAAAATGACGCCCATAATTTTCAGACTATTGCAATAAGCCAGGTAGCCAAAACAACTACAAATATATTCTTGCACACAATAAGTACTGTGCCAAGTATCTTGTTAATCATTAGTTTTAGGACTTCCACTAACACTATTATAAAAACAACCATTAGCAATAGTTAAATATTTGAAACCAGATATTAAAAAGAAACAGAAAATAATGATCCATACCTTCTGTAACTGATCAAAAATATAAGATAATGTTCTGGGAATGATGCCTCGATCACTGTAACGTTCTGCTCCTCCTGTGATGGTAAAAGTTTTGCCACTCCCTGTCTGACCATATGCAAAGATAGTACCATTGTATCCAGCCAAAACACTATTAAAAAAAGGAAGATAATATTTAAGGCAGAACATATTGTCCATGATCAACTTTGTATAGAACCAAAATATAATTAACAGTAATTCTTAATTACATAGCAATTGTATTTGATTATACAAGAGTATACTTTAATATATATATAGTCTAGATTCTATAGCATTTCATCTGTCTAGAATGGAAGAATTTCTTGATGCGTTGATTTCATCCATTATTAGCTGATCATGTTTATTACTATTTACACTACTTTTTCATACTTTTTAGTTTGGCAGATGATTTTTTGCAAGGATGATATTTAATCTCTCTATAAACTGTAGATGTCAGGAATTGTGCCACTGATACACTAGAAGAATCAAGAAATAGTTCATATAGAACCTCATTAAATGCAAACAGAAAACTATATTATGGTTAAAAACTCATGCAAGGACACCAAGGTTCAACTTTTATTCTGAGAATATAACTATACTAAAATACCAGACTATGTTTTGAAAAGGATATGCAGGAGAGCCTGCGCTTAAATCAGTGTAATAAAGTCCTAATTTAATAAGAAAATACAGAAACCCACATTGGTGATAGCAACCATTTCTGTTATAATTATGACTGTACAAGAAGCTTTGATAGAACAGAAAAAATAGCTATTAATGACATAACATGAAATGGCATTCAGGCTCATCTTTTTCATACCTCTTACTTCTGTTTGCAGAAGTGCCTAATGAAAGTCCAGTTCAAATATTTTTCTTTAATTCACCACAAATATTTTTCTGTAATCCACCATTGACTTCCACCTTATTTCCACTAAGCAGTAGATAAGATTATTCATCTTAAATTTTTGATTGGATTTATTATGTTTAAGGACCTACCAATTTTGTTCAACTGAAAAGCAAAAATTATTCTTGTGCATTTTGTTTAAAGATGAAATGTAAATAAGCTACAATTTCAATAAATAAAAAGAGGGAAAACAACCCTTGCGTAAGAGGAAAAGAAACATTTATATAGATAGCTGCTGGTCTGGCGCCACGAGAGATGTAATGATTCTCCAACTTAAAGTTTATTTAAAGGCCTGGGTAGTTGCCAAATTGCTTATTTTAGTCCATTACAGTAGGATGTCAAAGACAACAATAGAAGCATGTTGAAAGAAGTTACAGCAAACATCTGCTCCCAAAACGCACAAGGATTGAATATATATAGATATTAGATTCCAGATGTTACAAATCAAAACAATTATTATGATAAAACACCTCATTCATCTATCTTAGGAATTTCTAGTGCCCACTGTCACAATATCTGAATGCTGATGACAGTAATGAGTTGCCAGAGGGTGATGGGTATCAACAGAAGTCCAGACATGACAGATTCAAACCTAGCAAGAGGAAATGATTCTTCAAGCAAATTGTAGTTAAGCTGTATAACTCTTTACCACACCATGTTTTGGACATTTAAATGTCACACAGGCTTCAGCAGAGATTGGAATAAATCACCAAAACGTTTTTCTTCAGGGCTACTAATCACAGAGAAATCAGAAGGTCTCTAAACTACAAATAACTAAATACTAAGAGGATACATGCAGGAGGCATGCCTACATGCTGATTTTTTCCTTACTTACATGCTTATTTTTTTCCTCTGAGCAATCTCTGTTAGTCCCTGTGAGAGACAGCACAGTGCACTTGATGAAACCTTGGTCTGATGCAGTATAGTTGCTCTTCAGCTCTTGAAGAAGAATTCTCTGGATCTTCAGAGCTGGCAACTAGGGTTGTTAAATTTTCTTACTCCTCTTTTTTAAAAGTGTATCTTGCAATGCGTTAAGAACTAGTAAATGTGTGGCTGCAAACTATTAGTTCGACATGATTGTATCCTGATTTCTAACCACTTCACAAAAGTTGATTAGAATCACCTCATATGTAAACATAGGCTAAAGGATCACATACCGTATGCTGTCAAAACAGCGGCAAAAGTCAGTTTTCTTTTTGCTATTTGATTCCTATATATTCTTATATTTTCTGCACTGCATCAGCACAGCTCTGAAAATTTTTTCCAGAAAACCCTGACAGCTCATAAAATGTGAAAATATCAATGTCAATAATGCATTCTTCTAATCCAATGAAATTATAGATTATCCTAATATTGCATTGCATAGATTATTTTGATTCTACAGTTATGTTCTTTAAATTCTGAGCTAAAAGTCAACCTTATTTTCTAAACTTATGTACAAGTACCTATATATGTCTGTGTATAATTATATATATACAAATAATTGCATTCTGTCCATATTTACAGCACACATTTCTTTCATTCAGAGTGTATTACAGCTACCATCAAGTCAATTTAAGGACAGCCTGCTTGAGGTGCTAAGGAAGCCTGTGAGGAAAGAATATTACCAATAATACCAGTGAAATTGCTGGCAAAGCCTTCTAAGAGTAACATGTAACTCCATGAATACTGGATGGAGAACAAATTCCCTTTTTAAGTCTGAGAAGCAAAACACTTAGATAAATAAGAGGCAAGGGACTAGGAGCTCAGGCAGGACTGACAAAGCTGCTTTGGCTCAGAAGATTGAGATCTTGCCTCCTGAAAAGAGTAGAGGGGAAGATGCAGTGAAAATTAAAAGCTTTCACTGCACTGGCTTGTGGAGAGAAAATTAAACTTATGAACTACACAAAAGTTAAGGGTTTGTGCATATATATACTTATGAATGAATATATTCCAAAACTGAAAATATATGACTACCATTGTAAGTCTAATAGCATGAATATTAGTCAATGACAGTTTTGAAGGTCTCTATGCGATAACATGGATTAAGTCAAAAATCCAGGTTTGATATGTCTTATTCACACTTATTTTAAGTAACTTCATTTGGAATCAATGGCCATACATGATGTTTTAGCAATGAGCCTGAATTTCGGCATATGAAGAATTCTCAAAGAAACGTGGCCAAGATTTCAAATTCTGTTAAGGTAAGATTTTCACAAAAACATGACATTTCAGAGAAAATGTGGACATGCAATAGGTCCACAAAAACTTGTATTTCAATCTCATTTAATATACTGAGCTGTCTTCATAGTTTATTAATGTGTGGAAGATCTTTTTCATGACTGCCAAGAAAGGCCCCAAAAGGTCAGTTGCAAATTCAAAAAGGGTAGAACTAAAGAAATAGAATATTGATATTTTAGATTTAACTCATGAGTCCCAGGATTTCCAGATTTTGTGGCATAATTGATAATTATGTCAACACTTGGTAAATATATTTTAAATATATCTTTTTAGACTGAATAGTTATTTGTGTTTCAGTGAAAATACATGTTGTCAAGTCATGTGAAGTTTCACATATTACAAAACTGAATATAAAAATGTCTGCTTGCTCTATTGGAAACATGAACACCTATGTAACCACTTGTACATACATGTCATGCATGTTAAAGTGAGTAGGATGATAAGTGTTAGTCTTTTTTTGATCACTGTAAGAAAAGTTGATTTAAATTAAAATATTGATGAAGAAATATCATGATTGTCTGCCAAGTATTATGATCTCATCAGGAAGTATTTATGCAATAGAAAGCCTCTTTAGCAAAGCTGGTATCACTGAACAACACAAAATAGTGCAAAAAGATTTTGCATGGTGGAAATCGAAATAAGATAGAGTGCATGGGAAAAAAGCAACACCATAAATTGCAGGCAAGCAACTCCCAAAGTATGAATAATTATATAATTATTGTTTATTCCAGTCCTAAATCTTCTTTACCCTTTTATTCTGCATTATAATTTATCATCAAATTACATGTTCCCTTCAAGATGATTATAATTTAGAAAAGGATTTAATCTGTTCTTACATTTTACCCAAAGAACTGAATGCTTCTTTTCTGATCAAGCACTGAAAACTTCCTGCTGTTTTTTAGCAACACAACAGCTTGTGCTTCACCTTACAGAGCTAAACAGCAACAAGTTTAAGAAAAAAGAAAGCATTGAAAATATCCTTTATGTTGCTTAGGATTTAAATCACACCTTTTCCAAGCAAAAGGCAGTTTGTGCACATAGATGACTAAGAAGGTTGATTTGATACCACTGCTAAATATACCTAATCATGTATTGCAGCACAATATGATGGGATAAATTAAAAATGTTCAAGTTTTACCTGCAGCTATGACACAGACTAGCAAAATATGTCCCCCAACAAGATTGTTTGAGACAGCAATTGCAATACTTTTAGTATTTTTCTAGCTAGAATACTAAGGGATATTTCCCCCCACCAACTGGGAAAGTTCTCTACCTGGAAAGTATTAAGTAAGATCATGATCCACAGCTATTCAATTCAGTGAGCGCCTTTCCAATATGTCACTGAATTTTAGGGGAAAAATTTGATGCAGCAAATTTTTGCCACTGTAAATGCTTGAAACATACGGCAGCATTTACACTTATCTGTGTGTATCAAAAACCTTAGAAACTCCTAAACATACATTCTACAAATATTTTTCCAATTAACATAGAATACACTTAATTTTAGTACTTCACTTCTTTTGAAAAACATCCATAATAGAAAATCAGAAGGCTGAAGTAAATGTTCCTTATATATTTCACTTTCAGTACAACCTTAATACTACCTAATAATCCAAGTGTTGTCACATAACAGCTTACATAATGATGATTGCTCAAGAAAATTAGTTTTGGTCTTATGAAAAAATTATCATGTGTTCTGTGCTGCACTGTGGACTTTGAGAAACTATCCATTATCAAGCATAGGACAATTTTTTACATTAATATAAAGAAGAGCAATACCATAGTTTTTTCCCCTCATGTTTCTTACTCACTTATCAAGTAACTTGCATGCACAGTGAGATAAGAACTTTTAATTTGAAAATTCTGTTCAGACCCCTGTTTAAATGAATGCTGTTACAGAGCTATTGACTGGCATTTCAGTCACTCTACTGCCTTGTCTCATTCCTGAAAGCTGTCTAACTCCCAGATATAGTGCCATGCAGAAGTATAACTCATGGAAGCAATTCCACTTA